TCCAGGGTTCAAGAGATTTTCCTGTGTCAGCCTCCCAAGTATCTGGGATTACAGGCTTGCGCCACCATGCCTGGCTAGTTTTTTTTTTTTTTTTTTTAATTTAAGAGGGAGTCTGGCTCTATTGCCCAGTCTAGAGTGTAGTGGTGAGATCTCGGCTAACTGCAAACCTCTACCTCCCAGGTTCAGGCAATTCTCCTGCCTCAGCTTCCTGAGTCGCTGGGATTACAGGCACCCGCTATCATGCCAGGCTAATTTTCGTATTTTAGTAGAGACAGGTTTTCACCATGTTGGCCAGCCTGATCTCGAACTCCTGACCTCAAGTGATCTGCCCACGTTGGCCTCTCAAAGTGTTGGGATTACAGGTGTGAGCCACCGTGCGTGGCCCTCATCTCTATAATACAATTAAAAATTAAAAAATAGGGGCCCAGGGAGTGGGGCTGCCTGGGCTTCAGCCTTGCCCCCACCACCTACGTCGTGTGACCCTGTTGCAGCTCCCTGATCCCTCTGCAAAGCATCGGGATGCTAATGCCTGGAACATTCCGGAAGATGAGTTCATCCGTGCAGAGTGTGGAGAACAGAGCTGGGGCTCAATAAAAGCTCAGGAAGCGTTCACGCAGCTGTTGCCATGGGGACGTGCAGGCCCTGCGTTGCCAAGTCAGTCGGTTTTCAAGAGAAGCTGAGAGTTTTGATGTGGAAGGTCCCTGTTGTCGAATCTTGGTTGTGAATCCAAAAAGGAAAATGTGAGATGCTGTAAAGTGCACACTGATCACTTTGGTGGACCAGCCGGGGTCTGTAGCCTCTGTTCTGAGACCTAGAAGCCAATGGTAAAGCTGGGGACCTGCTTTCTTTCGGGCACTGGCCTGGGGCTGGGGCAGGCATAGAAAAGAATGAGCCCGGCCTTTGCCCTTGGAGAACGCCCAGTCCTGAGGCAGGGCTGAGATTTGCCCTTTAACCCTGCCACAAAGAATTATGAGCTTGACATAACTCCTTGGTTACAGGTGTGAACAAGAAGCAGGGCCGCCGCCTGCACACAGGACAGTTGCCCTGGCCCCCAAGGACCTTTGATCCCATCAGCAAAGTGCCAGGACTTCTTCATAGGTTTTTTTGTTTTTGAGACTAAGCCTCACTCTGTCGCCCAGGCTGGAGTGCAGTGGCACCGTCTTGACTCACTGCAACCTCTGCCTCCCAGGCTCAAGTGATTCTCTTGCCTGAGCCTCCAGAGTAGCTGGGATTACAGGCGCGCACCACCACGCCTGGCTATTTTTTTTTTTTTTTTTGTATTTTTAGTAGAGACTGGGTTTCACAAGGTTGTCCAGGCGGGACTCAAACACCTGACCTCGTGATCCGCCCGCCTTGGCCTCCCAAAGTGCTGGGATTACAGGCATGAGCCACCACGCCTGGACCAGAAGTGTCTTTGTTTTGCAGGACTCCATGCCCCTCTTTCCCACTCTGATGTTGGCATCTTGGAAATTCTGTATCTGCAGCACAGAGGGCAGGTCTTGCTCTAAGAACTCGTTGGGGCTGGGCACACACCTGTAATCCCAGCACTTTGGGAGGCCAAGGCAGGTGGGCCACCTGAGGTCATGAGTTTGAGACCAGCCTCGCCAACGTGAAGAAACCCCACCTTTAATAAAAATACAAAAAATTAGCCAGGCCTGGTGGCACAAACCTATACTCCCAGCTACTCGGGAGGCTGAGGCAGTTGAATCACTTAAACCCTAGAGGCAGAAGTTGCAGTGAGCCGAGTTCTCACCACTGCACTCCAGCCTGGGCAACAGAGCAAGGCTCCATCTCAAAAAAAAAAAAAAAAAAGTGAACTTGAGCAGGCCAGGCCCTTTGCACAGGCATTTCCTTGAAGCACCCCCCCAGGACTCTTATCATCCCACTTTACAGTTGAGGGAACTCACGTTCAGAGAGAGGCAGGGACATTGCCCATGCCCCCAGAGTCATCCCATACTCCCCTCCCAACCTTCCCTCTGTCTTAGCCCTAGAGGGCTTCAGTTCTTTGAATTTGAATCTCACAAGCCAGGCACCGTGGCTCACGCCTGTAATTCCAGCACTTTGGGAGGCCCAGGTGGGGGAATCATGAGGTCAGGAGTTTGAGACCAGCCTGATCAACATGGTGAAACCCCGTCTCAACTAAAAATATAAAAATTAGCTGGGCGTGGTGGTGCGCGCCTGTAATCCCAGCTACTCAGGAGGCAGAGGCAGGAGTAACATTTGATCCCAGGAGGCGGAGGTTGCAGTGAGCCAGGATCGCGCCATTCCACTCCAGCCGGGACGGCAGAGTGAGACTCCATCTCAAAAAAAAAACCTCACTTCTCCTTGCTGTTCCCTCCACCTGAAAATCCCTGCCTGTCCCGTCCCGGATCCTCTGGCCACAACTCACAACTTCTATCTGGCCTTCTCTAGCCTCCGTTTAGAGTTTTCCCCCATCACTCCTTGTCTGAGAACCCTATTTCCTCAAGAGCAATGGCCAAAGTCAGTCATGACCTTCCTGTTTACTCCTTCTTGTCTCCCCGAAGGCAGACTCGACTCCACCACGGCAACTGAACTAATGCCAAGTGATTGCATTAATGATTTGATTGAATTAACAATCCAATTAAATGACTGAATTAATGATTCATTTGCATTGATTAATGATTGAATTGATGTATTGGATTGACACTACCTCTTCTAATCTGTAGGTTTCAGCCCTACAGGGTCCTTTGAGCACCTCTCTGCTGGTGTGGAGATGAGAAACTAGAAATAAAAGACACAGCCAGACTTGGTGGCTCAAGCCTGTAATCCCAGCACTTTGGGTGGCCGAGGCGGGTGGATCACGAGGTCAAGAGATGGAGACCATCCTGGACAACATGGTGAAACCCCGTCTCTACTAAAAATACAAAAAATTAGCTGGGTACGGTGGCACGTGCCTGTCATCCCAGCTACTCAGGAGGCTGAGGCAGGAGAATTGCCTGAACCCAGGAGGCAGAGGTTGCGGTGAGCCGAGATCCCGCCATTTCACTCCAGCCTGGGTAACAAGAGAGAAACTCCGTCTCAAAAAAAAAAGATACAGACACAGAGATAGAGAAAAGAGAGTTTGGGCCCAGGGGTCCACTGCCAACCAAACATGGAGTCTGGCAGTGGCCCTGAGTGTCCAAACACTCTGACTTTTATTAAGTACAAAGCTGGTGTCAGGGTAGTTAGGGCGTGGCATTGGTGGTCAGTGATAGGGTCAAGTACATCACGTGTCCTATAGATAGGGGCCGAAGGCTTTCCAGTAGCGTAATGCATCAGCACTTTTCCATACTTGTCAAGAAAGAACAAAGACATTAAGATTTATACTCTTTTATTGATCGTATCTTCTAAGAAAAAAGGAACAGGTGCAGAAGCGGAACATGAGAGTGGACATGGAATGTGACCACTGAAGCACAGCGTCACATAGAGACAATTAAGCCCCGGATGTCTGTGGGCCTCCCTGACAGCCGTCAGGCCCACCACAAGAGCTTGGAGGAGCCGAGTTTTCTCCTGACTCCCCAGAGGAAGGAGACATCTTGACCATCTTGAACGTCTCCTTTCCTGGCTGGCTAAACAGCAGGCGCTTTCCCAGCGCCCTCCACCCACCCTTACATGGGCCTGACAGACAGAAAAGCATTAGTAAAAGAACTAAGATCACCTATGAATAACTAAGATCACCTATGAATAACAACTATTGTTATATTCCTTTTTTTTTTTTTTGAGACAGAGTTTCGCTCTTGTTACCCAGGCTGGAGTGCAATGGCGCGATCTTGGCTCACCGCAACCTCCGCCTCCTGGGTTCAGGCAATTCTGCCTCAGCCTCCCGAGTAGCTGGGATTACAGGCACGCGCCACCATGCCCAGCTAATTTTTTGTATTTTTAGTAGAGACGGGGTTTCACCCTGTTGACCAGGATGGTCTCGATCTCTTGACCTCGTGATCCACCCGCCTCGGCCTCCCAAAGTGCTGGGATTACAGGCGTGAGCCACGCGCCCGGCCGGGAATATAAATTAATGACATTTCTGAGGCTTCTGACTCCCCAGAACTTATGGGGTCTACCCCCTACACTAACCCACTACAGGAATTAAAAAGTTTACACCCCAGACTACTTCTGCCTCTCTCACTCCTACATTCCGAGGAGTTGGCAGTTCTTGACATTTAGTGGATGAGGAATAAATGAAACCAGACATGTCTTGTTCCCCTTCCCTCTGCGTAGCCTACAACTCCTATGCATCCCTCAGTGGCCAACTGAAACCTCCCGTCTTCTCTGAGCCCTCAGAGCCCCGCTGTGCTTCTCCTGCTCCTTCCTGGGTTGTAGATTCCCATTTTATGAGTCTCCGCCACGACACTGTAACCCGCAGAGGACAGAGAGCTGGTTTGATATATTCACCTGGCGGAGCCCGGAACCCAGCAGCGTGCTTGAGTATTTCCGAACTAGAGCAATGAATGGTTGTGCTGTGAGCATGCGCAATTGTGTTACTGCCAGGCTTGAGGGGTGTGTGCACGCCTGGAATGGGGTAGGGGAACTTGCACCTCCCTCCCGTCCTCTGCAGCCTCCTTCCCTTCCCCCCAGTAAGCCAGCCAGCCACCCCCACGACGTTACTCTTCTCCGGGGGCCTCAGAGCCCTGCCCATTTGGGGCAGCTTGGACTTGCAGAGACCCATCCCGCCAGCAGCCCTTGGGGTGGTCGCGCCCCGATTCCGGGCAGGCTCTGACCCCTCCTGGCTCGGCTCAACGTCACAAGGGTCCCCGCTCCGGTCATTTTGCGGGAATGACGGGGTCCACCCCTTCTGGGCAGGTAGAGGAAACGAACCCCAAACAGGCCCATAGGGAGCCAAGCGGCAGTTCGACTGGACCCGAGTAGGCCTCAGTTGCTATGGTGACGCGGCCTTCCAAGCCCCAAAGTCCCGAGCGGCATGACGCATGCGCAAAGCGCCTGGGAGCCCGCAAGGAGGACTAGCTTCCTTCTTCCCACCCAGGATGCCCTGCGGTCCTTGGGTGCTGACGTCACGAAGGAGGGCGGTCCCACATTTGATGACCGCACTGTACATAGGAGCATCAGCGACCAAGGCCGGTTATTTGATCTCAGACTCGGCCTTGTTGCGTCTGAAAAGGGGCAGGGGTGGCTCTTTTGAGGTGGCCATAGACGCCGAGGAACATAAGTGACGGCGCATTGAGGTAGCCACAGCCGCTTAGAAGGTTGCCATCGCGACGCGGCCGCTGGAGGGTTTAGCTTCCGGGTTAGGCGGCCGCGGAGGCGTAGACGGAATAACCTGAACGCCTCTTCCGGTTACCCTTTCCCAGTGCCAGAGGCGCCTAGGGTAGGAATCCTCACACGGGGACCGGAACAGAGACCCGACAAGGAACGGCGGCTTCCCCGAGATCGAGGGACGCGCTAGCCAGAGGAGAAGAAAGGAACCCGGGTCGGACCACGGAACCACTGACCATTGCCCATGGCGGCCCTAGTGAGTGTGGATTTGGCGGGGTTCGGGGGTCCCGGCGGCGACCTCGGCGGCACCTTACTCACCGTCCGCTTCCTCTTTCCGCAGGGCCCCAGCAGCCAGAATGTCACTGAATACGTCGTTCGAGTTCCGAAGTAAATCCCCTACCCCATCTCCCACTCCTCTCCACCCCGCAAAAGTGAAAACCTTTACGGTCCTCTTAGCCTGACGTTTCTGGCCCTGTCTGTGGTTCTCCCTCCAGACCGGGGGACTTGGAGGGCAGGGCTGCGATTAAGCTGAGGCTTCTCTGGAGGCAAACACTGCTTTTTGTATGAATGAGTGCATTAATACACAGCACGATTCAGCCTCCTGGCCTAACGTTCGAGAGCATATGATGCCCAGGCTGTCTCGTCCTCTTTCAAAGCGAGCAGGCTGCCTTTCCTTTCCAGGCCTTTGTACATCCCGTTCCCTCTGCCATGAGTGCCTCCCCTCAGCCCCCAAACGGTGACTCTGTTGGGTGAATTCTTGTTGATTCTGCAAAACTCAGCTCCAGTATCATCTTCCTCCAGGAAGCACTCCCTGACTGACCTCCCTCCTCCCCAAGGCTGAGTTCCCAATAATCTCCACATCTTGGGTTTCTCCCAATCTTTGTTCCTCCATTTGTTCTTCGTCTGCACGCAGTTAAGAGGGGATGGGGTCTAGCTTCTCTGGCAGACTGGGATTCCTGCAGTCTTCCGTATCCAGTGTTGACAGGCAAAACAGACTGAATGAACCAGGGTGGGTTTGTTGAGTGACTGAATTAATGATTCAGTGGAATGGAATGCTTGAATTAATGGTTCAGTTGAATGGAACGATCGAATTAATGATTTGATTGAATTAATGATGTGTTCACATTGATTGATTAAATTAATGATTGAATTGAATTGATGTATTGGATTGGCTCTATCTCTTCTAATCCACTCTAGGAATACAACCAAAAAATATAACATCATGGCTTTTAATGCAGCTGATAAAGTCAACTTTGCCACGTGGAATCAGGTAAGTCCCTGGGTCCTGGGGGTCGGGGGCTGGGGTGGTGAGAGAACCTGACCCTGACCTTGGTGGTTGTAATAGTTGCTTAGCTGTCATAGTAACTAAGTCTTAATTTTCTCACTTTTCCCAAGTGGAGATAAGGTAGATGACAAAGAGTTGGGTGCAGTAGTTTGTACCTGTAATCTTAGCACTTGGGAGGCCAAGGCAGGAGGCTTGCCTAAGGCCAGGAGTTCAAGACCAGCCTGGGCAATATAGCAAGACCCTATCTCTACCAAAAATAAAATAATTAGCTGGATGTGGTAGTGTGCATCTGTAGTCCTGCACAGGAGGCTGAGGTAGGAGGATCACTTGACCCCAGGAGTTGAAGGCTGCAGTGAGCTATGATTACACTACTGCACTCCAGCCTGGTGACAGAGTAAGACCTGTCTCAAAAAAAAAAAAAAAAAAAAAAAAAGATGGCAAAGGCCCAGGCCAAGCTCCTGGGTGTCCCTGTAAGTTACGTTTAGTAGGACCACAGGAGGCCATTCCTTAATGGAGAACATTTAGAAGTTGTGCCCACTGATGGCCATTTTTGCCAAGGTTTATCTGGCTGAGGGAGGGGACTGGGCTAGGGCCTTCCCCAGAGCCCCTGCCATCAGAGGCTCTAGAAAGGACTGTGGGAGCCATTAAAGCATCCTCCACGGGGAAGTTGTATTGTGATCTGGCTGCTGTGGGGAGGCAAACTGTGGGTTTGAGGGCGGATAAAGGGAGAACAGGGTGGAAGCAACTGGGCTGACTGGTCTAGGTGAGTCCTGGCCTGGGGATGTGGAGGCCGTGAAGGTGATGAGATGTGGCTGGATTCTAGAGTGTTTTGGAAATGGTACATATGGACCTTGAAGCAAGAGCTTAAGGGTAATTGGGACCTTATTGGCCACATAGGTCATGATTAATGGTTACATTTTAGAGATTTTGGTGTCTTACTGTCAACAAGTTTGGCACAATGAATTTCTTTTTATTTATTTAAATTTATTTTTTTGTGATGGTGTTTCACTTTTGTTGCCCAGGATGGAGTGCAATGGCACGACCTCAGCTCACTGCAACCTTCAACTCCCAGGTTCAAGCCATTCTCTTGCCTTAGTCTCTCATGTAGCTGGGATTACAGGTGCCCACCCCCACTCCCACCTAATTTTTGTATTTTTGGTAGAGATGGGGTTACACCATGTTGGTCAGACTGGTCTCGAACTCCTGACCTCAGGTGATCCACCCACCTCGGCCTCTGAAAGTGCTGGGATTACAGGTGTGAGCCACTGTGCCTGACCTTTTTATTTTCTTTCTTTCTTTTTTTCTTTTTTTTTTTGAGACGGAGTTTTGCTCTTGTTACCCAGGCTGGAGTGCAGCGCGATCTCGGCTCACCGCAACCTCCGCCTCCTGGGTTCAGGCAATTCTCCTGCCTCAGCCTCATGAGTAGCTGGGATTACAGGCACGTGCCACCGTGCCCAGCTAATTTTTTGCATTTTTAGTAGAGACGGGGTTTCACCATGTTGACCAGGATGGTCTCAATCTCTTGACCTCGTGATCCACCCGCCTCGGCCTCCCAAAGTGCTGGGATTACAGGCTTGAGCCACCGCGCCCGGTCGCTTTATTTTCTTTCTTTATTTTTTTGAGATGGAGTCTTGCTCTGTTGCCCAGGCTAGAGTGAAGTGGTGTGATCTGTGCTCACTGCAACCTCTGCCTCCTGGGTTCAAGCAATTCTCCTGCCTCAGCCTCCTGAGTAGCTGGGATTACAAATGTGTGCCACCACACCCAGCTAATTTTTGTATTTTTAGTAGAGACAAGGTTTCACCATGTTGGTTAGGCTGGTCTTGAACTCCTGACCTCATTATCTGTCTGCCTCAGCCTAATAGAGGTAGGGTCTCACTATATTGCCCAGGCTGGTCTTTTTTTAAATGTTTTTTAAAGACAGAGTGTCACTCTGTCACCCATGCTGGTGTACACTGGCATGATCTCAGCTCACTGCAACTTTTGCCTCCCTGCGGTTCAAGCCATTCTGGTGCCAGGCTAGTCTTAAACTCCTGAGCTCAGGTGAGCCTGGGCCTCCCAAAGTGCTGGGATTATAGGCGTGAGCCACAGCACAACGAGTTTTGATAGGCATGCGTTCTGGAGATGTGTAGAAATTCTAGTTACACGATTTTTGAAAAGGAGCCTGGAACCAGATGCCTGCTGTAGATATTAGGGAAGTCTGATCACTTCTAAATTCCTCAGGTCTGGAATTTGGCCTCTGATGGCCTGCTTGAGCACCAGGTGGTCTTTTTTGTTTGTTTGTTTTTTGTTTTTGAGACAGAGTCTTGCTCTGTCACGAGGCTGGAGTACAGTGGCGCCATCTTGGTTCACTGCAAACCTCCGCCTCCTGAGTTCAGGTGATTCTCCTGCCTCAGCTTCCTGAGTAGCTGGGACTATAGGCGCCCGCCACCATGCCTGGATAATTTTTCTATTTTCAGAAGAGATAGAGTTTTACCATGTTAGCCAGGATGGTCTCGATCTCTTGACCTCATAAACCGCCTGCCTCGTCCTCCCAAAGTGCTGAGATTACAGGCCTGAGCCACTGCGCCCAGCCAGGTCTTTTTCTCTTTAATTTTAATTTGGAAATAATCTCAAGCTTTCAAGTTGCAAAAATAGACAGAGTACAAGGCTGGCCCAAATTCCCTTTACCCAGATTCACCAAGGGCCAACATTCTCCTCCTTTATTGGCCAGGGGGAAGCTGGTTTTGAGCATCTAGAGCTCAGCCTAGCACAAGGAAGGGCATTCCCAGATGGGGGCACCGCCCAAGCACAGCCAGGGACCCTGAGGCTTTGCTTCCTGCTCCCCCAGGCCCGGCTGGAGCGGGACTTGAGCAATAAGAAAATCTATCAAGAGGAGGAGATGGCTGAGTCAGGCGCGGGCAGCGAGTTCAACCGCAAGCTCCGGGAGGAGGCTCGGAGGAAGAAACTCGGCATCGTCCTCAAGGAGTTCCGGCCCGAGGACCAGCCCTGGCTGCTCCGTGTCAACGGCAAATCTGGCAGGAAGTGAGTGGTAGGGCGATGGCAGTGCAGGCTTAGGGACCAGTCCATGTCCTCCCTCAGCTTGCGTCATTTGTGGGGTGCCCTCTCTGAACCTCAGATTCCCATTGGTGTGATGGAGGTGCTGGCACTTACATCCCTGTGGGGTTTTATTTATTTATTTATTTTTGAGACAGAGTTTTGCTCTTGTCGCCCAGGCTGAAGTGCAGTGCCGTGATCTTGGCTCACCACAGCCTCCGCTTCCCGGGTCCAAGCGATTCTCCTGCCTCAACCTCCTGAGTAGCTGGGATTATAGGGGAGTGCTATCACGCCCGGCTAAGTTTTGTATTTTTAGTAGAGATGGGGTTTCACCATGTTGGCCAGGCTTGTCTTGAACTCCAGACCTCAGGTGATCCACCCGCCTCGGCCTCCCAAAGTGCTGGGATTACAGGTGTGAGCCACTGCACCTGTCTGGGTTTTATATTTTATTCATTTATTTATTCTATCTTATTTCTTGATTTATCTTGAGTCAGGGTCTCACTGTCGCCCAGGCTGGAGTGCAGTGGATGCAATCATAGCTCGCTGCAGGCTCCAACTCCTGGGCTCAAGAGATCTTCCCACCTCGGCCTCCTGAGTAGCTGAGACTTACAGGCGTGCCTCACCATGCCTCGCTAATTTTTGTATTTTTGGTAGACATGAGGTCTTGCTGTGTTGCCTAGGCTGGTCTTGAACCCTTGAGGTCAAGCGATCCTCTTACCTTGGCCCCCCAAAGTCCTGGGATTACAGGTGTGAGCCAGCACCCAGGCCCTGGGATTCTAGTTTTGAAGATGAACTGAGGCCGGGCATGGTGGCTCACACCTGTAATCCCAGCACTTGAGGTGGATCACTTGAGGTCAGGAGTTTCAGCATGGCCAACGTAGTGAAACCCCGTCTCTTCTAAAAATACAAAAAATTAGCTGGGTATGGTGGCATGTGCCTGTAATCCCAGCTACTGGGGAGAGCTGAGGCAGGAGAATCACTAGAACCTGGGAGGCGGTGGTTGCAGTGAGCTGAGATCTCACCACTGCACTCTATCCTAGGAGACAAAATGAGGCCGTCTCAAAAAAAAAATATATGAACTGAGTTGGTGCTTGTGCCTGGCTCTGAGTGCCACAGTGCAGGAAGCTTGGGTGGTTCATGACACTTGAGACCTCTCAGAGGGGGCAGGCTGAGGGCAGAATGGGAAGGGTACAGGTCGGACTGATGAAGGGCACTCCAGGCACACCGTGTGTGATAGTGACAGACACAGGCAGCTCACACAGGGCAGTGGGCGCCAGGACACGCTGGGCCCAGGGGAGCCTGGGAAAGCTATAGGCAGGGAAGGGTGCTCGGCCAGATTCCTGGACATTTGGGATAGAAGATGAGGTGGAAGCCTCGAGGAGGCTGGGCAGTTGTTTAGGCCTGAGGGAATGGTGGCCCAGGCGGGCCACTTCAGATTTGGCCATGCCACGGCAGGGCGTGGTGGCTTATGCCTGTAATTCCAGCCCTTTGGGAGACCAAGGTGGGTGGATCACTGGAGGTCAGGAGTTCAAAACTAGCCTAGCCAACATGGTGAAACCCTGTCTCTACTAAAAACACAAAAATTATCTGGGCATGGTGGCGAACACTTGTAATCCCAGCTACTTGGGAGGCTGAGGCAGGAGAATTGCTTGAACCCGGGAGGCAGCGGTTACAGTGAGCTGAGACTGTGCCCTGGCACTGCAGCCTGGGTGACAGGGCAAGACTCCATTAAAAAAAAAAAAAATTTGGCCATGTCTTTCTGCTCCATCCCCACACTTGGCTCCCAAGTTTCCCACCTGTGGCCCACAAGTAGCAGAGCTGGAGGCAGATCCCGATGGGGTGACTGCAGGGCTGGGATAATCTCAGCCAGTCTTTGCAGAAGATGTGCACACACATCCAGCACTTCGCAGGGTAGGCGCTGGGCCTGCTCCCCGGATATGGAAATGGATAAGGCTCAGCTGGTGGAGGGGCTGCCCTGCCGCATGGCCTCCTCATTCCATGGTCCTCCTCTGACATGTACCATCAAGAAGGCAGGCCTGGGGGACACACACAGGGCTGGGGCTGGTCCTGTGGGCCAGGCCATGACCATGGCTCCCTGCAGGTTCAAGGGCATCAAGAAGGGAGGCGTGACAGAAAACACGTCCTACTATATCTTCACCCAGTGCCCCGACGGGGCCTTTGAGGCCTTCCCCGTGCACAACTGGTACAATTTCACGCCGCTGGCCCGGCACCGCACGCTCACTGCTGAGGAGGCCGAGGAGGAATGGGAGAGGTGAGTGGGCTGGGTGGCGGCTGGAGACAGAAGTGAGGGAAATGGGGTGCATTGCCGTGTGCTGTGCTGGGGGAGCTGGCGACTCAGTGGTGACCAGGGCAGACCCCACGTGGCCCTGTTGGAGCTGTCAGCTCAGGAGGAAACAGATACGAGGCCTTCGACTCAAAGTGGGGCTCTGCCAGAGCCAAAGTGGGTGACCTGGAGCTGGAATTGGCAGAGCAGGGTGGGGTCTCAATGTCGCCTTGGTTCCTATAGGTCCCAGGAGGGAGGTGCTCCAGCAGCGTGTGGGGACCTGCTCTTTGAGGAACTCTCGGGGAGAGGGAAGGCAGGAAGGGCCAGCTGTATCCGTGCGGTTTCAGGGAGTCTTGGGCCACAGCCCCAGTGCCTGGAGACCACATCCAATAGAAGGCTGTGTGGTGGTGCCCTCGGGGTTGGCCCCGTTCCAGCGCAGAAGCAGGGTGGTCCCCGGCCTGAGTCCTTTGTGCCTGGCCCGCAGGAGGAACAAGGTGCTAAACCACTTCAGCATCATGCAGCAGCGGCGGCTCAAGGACCAGGACCAGGACGAGGACGAGGAGGAGAAGGAGAAGCGCGGCCGCAGGAAGGCGAGCGAGCTGCGTATCCACGACCTGGAGGATGACCTGGAGATGTCGTCCGATGCCAGTGACGCCAGCGGTGAGGAGGGTGAGCATGGGGGCCGGGCACTAGGTCACAGAGGTGCCTGCCCAGGCGGTGCCAGTGAAGGCAAAGTCTGCCATCGCGCACATGGCCCTCGAATGAGAGACTCTTGGGGCCAGGCGCGGTGGCTCACGCCTGTCATCCCAGCACTTTGAGAGGCTGAGGTGGGCAAGATCATTGAGATCAAGAGTTTGAGACCAGCGTGGCCAACATGGTAAAACCCTGTTTCTACTAAAAACACAAAAATTAGCTGGACATTGTGGTGTGCGTGTATAGTCCCAGCTACTTAGGAGGCTGAGGCAGGAGAATCACTTGGACCCAGGAGATGGAGGTTGTGGTGAGCTGAGGTTGTGCTACTGCACTCCATCCTGGGCAACAGAGAGGGACTCTGTCCTGGAGGAAAAAGAATGAGAGTCGGGCGAGGCTGCCCAGAGGAACAGTGATGTCACTCAGGAGGCAAGGAGAGCCTGTCAGAGCCCAGGAGAGCTGAGCCGTGGCTTTCTTGTTTTTGAGACAGGATCTCTCTCCCTTTCGCCCAGGCTAGAGTGCAGTGGTCCAATCATGGCTCACTGTAGCATTGACCTCCTAGGGTCAAGTGATCCTCCCACCTCAGCCTCCTGAGTAGCTGGGACTTAAGGCTTGCCCCCCACCACAACTGACTAATTTTTTTTTTTTTTCATGGAGACAGAGTTGCTCCCTGTCGCTCATAAAGGTGCAGTGGCACAATCTTGGCTTACCACAACCTCTGTCTCCCAAGTTCAAGCTATTCTCCTGCCTCAGCCTCCTAGGTAGCTGGGATTATACGTGCACACCACCACACGTGGCTAGTTTTTGTGTTTTTAGTAGAGACGGGGTTTCACCATGTTGGCTAGGCTGGTCTCAAACTCCCGACCTCAGGTGATCTGCCTGCCTCAGCCTCCCAAAGTTATGGGATTACAGGCATGAGCCCTGGTGCCCAGCCTAATTTTTGTATTTTTTGTAGAGACTGGGGTCTCACTCATTGTGTTGCTCAGGCTGGTCTCGAACTCCTAGGCTCCAGCCATCCTCCCGCCTAAGCCTGCCAAAGTGTTGGGGTGACAGGTGTGAGCCGCTGCACCTGGCCTGGCTGTGGCCTTTACTGCGGTTCCCATGAAAAACTGTACTCTGGGTTGGCCAGTTTCAATAATCTGTGTGCTCAGCCTGTAGGGCTGTCCCTGGTTATCAGTGCCTGGCCCGGGGTGGTCTGGGAGAGGGAGGCAGTGGTCTGTGAGGGTTAGAGAACGTGGGTGGGTGTGTGGAGTCTGGGCAGGGAGTTTGTTTAGGAGAGCTGAGCGTTGGGCTGGCCTTGGAGAGGCAGTCTCCCCAGTTGGTGAGGCCCCCCAGGTGCCCAAACTGCACACGATGTGAAAGACACAATCAATACCCGCAGCCACCTCCTCTTCCATTTCTTTCCCTGCTTTCCAGGTGGCAGAGCCCCCAAGGCCAAGAAGAAGGCGCCGCTGGCCAAGGGCAGCAGGAAGAAGAAGAGGAAGAAGGGCTCAGATGACGAGGCCTTCGAGGACAGTGATGATGGGGACTTTGAGGGCCAGGAGGTGGACTACATGTCGGACGGCTCCAGGTGAGGCCCGCAGAAGGTGGCTGCGAGACCCCACGTGCCCCGAGGGCGCACACTCACTCTCCCCCACCCCTCTCACAGCAGCTCCATGGAAGAGCCTGAGACCAAGGCCAAGGTGCCGCAGCAGGAGGAGGGGCCCAAGGGTAGGTGGCAGCTGGGCAGGCCCTGGCAGGAGATGGGGGGTGCGGGGTGGGTGCTCATACCCTGTCCCCACAGGCGTTGATGAGCAGAGCGACAGTAGTGAGGAGAGTGAGGAGGAGAAGCCACCTGAGGAGGACAAGGAGGAGGAGGAGGAGAAGAAGGCGCCCACCCCACAGGAGAAGAAGCGCAGGAAAGGTGCGGCCCGTGTGGCCTCTGTGTTGGAGGCTTGGGTCGAGCCCTGGCACCCTGCTGCCTCCTTCCCTCTCCTCTTCAGACCTCCCTCATCTGCAGTGGAGGTACGGGTGGGTGCTGGGCCCTGACCCCTGTCCTGTGCCCCGCAGACAGCAGCGATGAATCAGACAGCTCAGAGGAGAGTGACATTGACAGTGAGGCCTCCTCGGCCCTCTTCATGGCGGTAAGGCCCAGCCTGGCATCGAGGGAGGCCTGGGTGTCCATTTCTAGACTCAGTCCCCTCACCCTCACCCCACCCTGACCACTGCAGAAGAAGAAGACACCACCCAAGAGAGAGCGGAAGCTGTCGGGAGGGAGCTCAAGGGGCAACAGCCGCCCGGGCACGCCCAGCACAGAGGGCGGCAGCACGTCCTCCACCCTGCGTGCCGCTGCCAGCAAACTCGAGCAAGGTGAGCGCCTTGGCCTCCGCACTCCCCACAGCCACTGCCTCCCCACCTCTACCTTTGGGGTTTGGGACAGAGGGGATGGAGACGGGAGTGCAGGCCTGTCCCTCCCTTTTTCCCTTGAACCCTAATCCTGGCGCTGCCCAGCCTGGGGTCTTGCCCACGGGTTCAGCCTCCTGCCCCCACAACTCAGTCCTGACCCTACTCCCACAGGGAAGCGGGTGAGCGAGGCGCCTGCAGCGAAGCGGTTCCGTCTGGACGCGGGGTCCCAGAGCCTGTCGGGGAAGTCGACTCCGCAGCCACCATCGGGCAAGTCGACACCCAGCAGTGGGTAAGTTGGCAAGGAGAGAGCATGGGCAGGGCCAGGGCTGCTAGGACAGTCTCGTTGATGCCGCCTTCCCCACCCTTCCATCCACAGGGACGTGCAGGTGACTGAGGACGCCGTGCGCCGCTACCTGACACGGAAGCCCATGACCACTAAGGACCTGCTGAAAAAATTCCAGACTAAGAAGACAGGGCTGAGCAGCGACCAGACGGTGAACGTGCTGGCCCAGATCCTCAAGCGCCTCAACCCCGAGCGCAAGATGATCAACGATAAGATGCATTTCTCCCTCAAGGAGTGAGCCTCTGTCCAATACACAGCTCTGGCCGGGCGCGGTGGCTCAAGCCTGTAATCCCAGCACTTTGGGAGGCCGAGGTGGGTGGAACACGAGGTCAAGAGATCGAGACCATCCTGGTCAACATGGTGAAACCCCGTCTCTACTAAAAATACAAAAAATTAGCTGGGCATGGTGGTGCGTGCCTGTAATCCCAGCTACACAGGAGGCTGAGGCAGGAGAATTGCCTGAACCCAGGAGGCGGAGGTTACGGTGAGCCGAGATCGAGCCATTGCACTCCAGCCTGGGTAACAAGCGTGAAACTCCATCTCAAAAAAAAAAAAAAAAAAATACACAGCTCTGCTCCCCAGGACTTCTCAGGCTCTCACTGCCCCTTTGCCGTCCTGCTCCCTGACTCCCAGGGCCCCAGAGTTAGCAATTTTGGAAAAGTTTAAGCCATTTCCTCCTCTGGCCCTTCTGGAATCTTCAGCTGCCTGGTAGGCCTTCTTCTTGTCCTCTTTCTCCCTGTTCAGCCTCTCTCACGCTGACCAAGGGCCTGTGCCCACCGGGTAGCAGTTCTGCCTTCCACTTCCTTAGGCTTCTCTTCAGCGGTGATTTAATCTACTGCATAGCCCATTAGGTCTTCAGTTTTGGCCAGGCATGACGGTGAGTGCCTGCAGTCCCAGCTACTTGGGAGGCTGAGCCCAGGAGTTCAAGACTGCAGTGAGCTATGATGGTGACACTGTACTCCAGCCTGGGTGACAGAGCAAGACCCTGGCACACACACAGAAAAAGCAGCCAGGCATGGTGGTGGGTGCCTGTGGTCCCAGCTATCTGGAGGCCTCAGCCTTCTCAGCACAAGAATTGATTCTTGTGAACCTGGGAGGCAGAGGTTGCCATGAGCTGAGATCACACCACTGCACTCCAGCCTGGGTGACAGAGTGAGACTCTGTCTCAAAAAAGTGAATAAATTGCTTAGATTTCTTTGTTTCCTTTTTAGATCTGGTATTCTAACAGACATTTGGATAATGTCTTGTTCCTTAGGTTTTGGTTTTGTCCTTCATGTATTTATTTTTTAGTTTTTGAGACGGGGTCTTGCTCTGTTGCCCAGGCTGGACTGCAGGCCCCCTGCAACCTCTGCCTCCCTGGCTCAAGCCATCCTCCCGCCTTAGCATTTAAAGTAGTGTGCACCACCATGCCTAGCTAATTCTAAAAGATTTCTTGTAGAGGGCCGGGCGCAGTGGCTCAAGCCTGTAATCCCAGCACTTTGGGAGGCCGAGGCGGGTGGATCACAAGGTCAAGAGATCGAGACCATCCTGGTCAACATGGTGAAACCCCATCTCGACTAAAAATACAAAAAGTTAGCTGGGCGTGGTGGCGCGTGCCTGTAATCCCAGCTACTCATGAGGCTGAGGCAGGAGAATTGCCTGAACCCAGGAGGCGGAGGTTGCGGTGAGCTGAGATTGCGCCATTGCATTCCAGCCTGGGTAACAAGAGCAAAACTCCGTCTCCAAAAAAAAAAAATTCTTGTAGAGATGAGGTCTCACTGTATTGCCCAGGCCAGCCTTGAACTTATGGGTCAAGCAGTCCTCCTGCCTCAGGCCAGTGAGTAGCTGGGACCACAGGGGTGTACCATTTCGCTGACTAATGTTTTCATTTTAGGCCTCCTTACCTTGTGGTCTGACATATCTAGGAGCTGAAGTTCATGGGCCTCCTTGTGTTTCTTCTGACTCCCCTCGGTGATAGATTTTCTTGTGATTTGGAGTTGGATGCTCATGGCCAGCTGGGGGCTCTGTGGGAATCCAGGGTGGCCTACTTTGCAGGCAATCCTTCCAGATGGTTCCACGTTGGCTTGCGCCTGCCACCCAGGAGCACCAGCCCCAGCCCATTTTGTGTGTGGTTCTCGGCTTGCAGGCTCTATCCCTGTGTGGCCACCAAAGCCAAACCCCCGATTGCGGGACCCTATGTTTCAGGTTCCCTGTGATGTTTTGGGGGCTTCTTTCTTTTCCTCCAAGCTTGGTCATGCGTTTATTTGATCTGGCGTCGCCAGGTTCTGGAGGGTGGGCTTTTCCAGTTCCTGGACAGCAGTGTGGCTGGAATTAGAATCTGGCCATACCCACTTTTGAACTCATCTTCTGGGCAACCTCTTTCTTCCATCTTGCCGGTGGTTGGAAACTGCAGATGGAAAGCTTCCCCACCCAGTTCTGCGGCCCTTGGCTGCTGAGCAGGAATGCCTGAGATGTCAGGCTAATTCTTCGGAATGTCCCAGTTCAGGCCAACCTCTCCCCATTCTTCTGCCAGGCCTTGGGCAGCAGGGAGGCAGCTCTGGAGGGAGCACCTGCCCTGGTGGTTTCACCCCAGCTATCCCTACTGCTTGGACCTTTGTCCAAGGAGGCTGGGCCATGTGGCCTCATGGTTAGAGCAGGGGCTTTGCATTCAGGTGGACCTGGGTTCAAATGCCAGGTCCATTGCTTAATTCTGGGTGACCTCGGGTTTTTTTTTTTTTTTTTTTTAATGGAGGCTTGCTCTGTCACCCAGGGCTGAGTGCAGTGGTACCATCTCAGCTCACTTGGGACGCCTCTGCCTCCCAAGTTAAAGCAATTCTCCTATCTCAGCCTCCTGAGTAACTGGTATGAGAGGCACCTGCCACCACACCCAGCTAATTTTTGGGTTTTGTATTTATTTTTATATTTTTTTGAGACAGAGTTTGTTGTTGCCCAGGCTGGAGTGCAATGGTGCGATCTTAACTCACTGCGATCTCTGCCTCCCGAGTTGAAGCGATTCTCCTGCCTCAGCCTCTGGGAGTAGCTGTGACTACAGGCATACGCTACCACACCTGGCTAATTTTGTATTTTCAGTAGAGACAGGGTTTCTCCATGTGTAGGGCTATTGGGGCCCCACAGGGTCATGCGGTGTCCCTTATGCTGTGTTGAGGTGCAGGATCTGAGAAGAGACAGGACACTGAAGAACTGGTGAAGAGCATCTGGACTCGGAGGGGCCACTCCATCTGTGAGTGGAGATCAGGGACAGACCCCAAATGCCCCAGAGGATTTGCATTTATTAGGTACAAGCAGGGGGCAGGGTCGTGCGTGAGGTCATCATCTATAGGCTTAGTAATAGGGCATATATAATCATGTGAGTCCCAACAAGGGGACCACCCCATTATGTCACCTGGGCAGAGGGGTGGGCTGTGCGAAGCAGGGGGCCTTGCCATGCGCAGTAGTAGAGGATCGTGTACAGAAAAGGGGTCCACCTCCATTAGGTCACTGAGGCAAGGAGGTGGGCTGTGTGCAACAGGTGTCGTGCACAACACTTATCTGAGGGCTGGCGACTTCAAAGGGTTTCTAATAGAAGCATACTGCAAGCCAGTGCAGTGGGAGCTGACAGACTTGTGCTCTTAAGATATTAATGGGAGGATGATTTGAGCTAGCGCAGAGTGAGAAAAGACCGACAGGGTGGACAGCCGCCGTGACTGGTCACAACAGAGGGGTTCTTCTCCCTCGGTTACTTGCGGGATCTCAGGCCTGCGGCTGACTTTCCACAGGAACTGGATGCAGGTGCTACAACCCCTTTATCAGGAGGAGAGGCTCCTGCTCCAAGCCTGCCACGCAGCGTATGCCCTTTCAGGCAGGGATGCTACCGCCTGGGTCTTTGGTTCTTGTCCTGGTCCGGCTGTTTCCCATGTACTGCTTCTGTTCTGTGACTGCTCTAGGCATTCCTCCTGCTACAAACCCCTATATGGTTATATGGAAGGATTCTATAAATCAGCACTAAATGTGTCAGTACAGCACCGACTACAATACCTAGGTGATTAGGTGATTATATAGAAAGATTATATAGAACTAAGTATGCTAGACAGAAGTATTAAGTTTGTATAAGCTGGATACATGTAAGCAATAATTGTACTTCAGGCACTAATTCTGTAAACTAATATGTGATTATATATGAAGGAAATAGTTGAGTAATAACACTGTAAACTAAGATATTCTTCAGGCACTAATTGTGCTTGGGGTCTGGACAGTTGTCCTCCTCGGTGCCCCTGAGGGGTGTCACCCACATCCATGTTTGTCAGGCTGGTCTCAAACTCCTGACCTCAGGGGATCCGCCCACCTCAGTGTCTGAAAGTGCTGGGATTACAGTGTGTGAGCCACTGTGCTTGGCCTTTGGGTTTATTTTTGAGACAGAGTTTTACTCTGCTCAGGCTAGAGTGCAGTGGTGCAATCTTGGTTCACTGCAGCCTCCACTTCCTGGGTTCCAAGTGATTCTCCTGCCTCAGCCTCCGAAGTAGCTAGGACTACACTGGCTAATTTCTTGTGCTTTTAATAGAGACAGGGTTTCACCATGTTGACCAGGCTGGTCTCGAACTCCTGACCTCAGGTGATCTGCCCACCTCCGCCTCCCAAAGTGCTGGGATTATAGGTGTGAGCCACTGCGCCCAGGCTTCTTTCTCCATCTGAAAATTATCTCAATAAGAAAAAACAATATGGCTGGGTGAGGTGGCTCACACCTGTAATCCCAGCACTTTGGGAGGCTGAGGCGGGCGGATCACCTGAGGTCAGGAGTTCGAGATCAGCATGACCAACATGGATAAACCCCGTCTGTATTAAAAATACAAAACTAGCTGTCGTGGTGGCGCACACCTGTAATCCCAGCTACACAGGAGGCTGAGGCAGGAGAATTGCTTGAACTGGGCAGGTAGAGGTTTCGGTGAGCCGAGATGGCACCACTGCACTCCAACCTGGGCAACGAGTGAAACTCCATCTCCAAAAACAAAAAAAAAAGAGAAAAACCACAACATAATCATCGAGGGAGTCCCACCGATGGATGGAGCTCAGGTCATTTCCAGTCTTTCCTAACAGGAAGGCATCGGATCCCCTGTGCTCTCGAGCAGCTGCTCATCCAAAGAGCTGTTAGCAGTTTACACCCACACCAACAGCACAGGGTGCGCATGGGTCACACACCTGTGTGAGGGTTTTCTGATTTTCCCCCATCTTGTGGGTGCTTAGGGTCAAGCGCCCCTTCGGACAGCCACTAGCTGTTTGCTTGTTTTTGCATTCGAAGCTAGGGGAACCGCCTTAAACTTAAAGCACCCATCTCTCCTCACCGAGCCAAGTGGGAGGGGTTCTGACGAGCTCCCCTGTACCTGTGAGGGGACTGGGCTCACAGGGCTGAGTGCAGACACCTCCAGAGCCCGCATCTCACTGTCTGCATCGTGCTAGACCTTACCATGACCTGGATGGCCTCCATCACCCTGTGGGCTTTGACACGCTCACATCCCCAGGAAGGGGCTACAGTTATGGGGGTCTCAGTTGGCCTTCCCAAGACAGGCATCCCTGCCCCCTTGTGTCCCCACCCTTGGCTTTCCCTAGGCCTCTCCCTTTTCCTGTTTTGAAGTTGGCTCAGCCAGGCCCGGAGACAGGGGCATGATGTCCTAATCCTCCAGGCGGAAGCCACCAAGGAGGGTTCCTGTGGACTTGCTCCCTGCCAAGTCACCCTTCCCAGCACTTGCATCCATCCCACCTGGCACAGGACACATGTGGGGATTCCTGAGTCCCAGCACCCTGACTTAGTGGGGAGGGACTCCACTGGGGGACCCATGAAGCCCCTGACTCCCGCTCCAGGCAGCAGGCCGGGGTGAACCCCCGCCCTGGCTGCCAGTATAGCACTCGTAAATCAGGGGGTGTCTGGGGTGTCGGAAATGGGTGTGTGGAACGTCGGGGTGGGGTGGGCTGGGGGTGAGCCCTTATTTCTTAGAAGGGCGGGGTGTGGAGCAGGAGTGGATGCCTGGATTCCAGGGCGTAGGAGATAAGCTGGTGCAGACGTGGGGCCCTCTGGCCGCAGGGGCCGGCAGTGAAGCGGTTAGCTCCCAGCCCCAGCAGGGCATAAATTTGGGGCACACCTCCCACCCTCAGGACCTGCCCATCACAATGGCTGTAGGGAAGGTCCTTCTGGGCTCTTTGCTGCTCCTGTCCCTGCATCTGGGACAGGGCTGGGACCCTGATGCCCGTGGGGCTCCTGTGGCCAATGGAGAGTTCTCGTCTGAGCAGGTGGCAGAGGCTGGAGGAACCTGGCTGGGTAAGGACTCCCAGGGACCCTCTGTGACTTCCCAACTTCCCCCAGCCCTGACCCTGCTCACTGTCAGCACCCTTCTCTCTGGCAGCCACTCACCGACCCCTCACCCGCCTGCGCCGAGCCCCGTCCGGTCCGTGCCAGCTGTGGAGCCTGACTCTGTCGGTGGCAGAGCTGGGCCTGGGCTATGCATCCGAGGAGAAGGTCATCTTCCGCTACTGCGCCGGCAGCTGCCCCCGGGGTGCCCGCACCCAGCACGGCCTGGCACTGGCCCGGCTGCAAGGCCAGGGGAAAGCTCACGGCGGGCCCTGCTGCCAGCCCACCCACTACGATGACGTGGCCTTCCTTGACGACCACCACCGCTGGCAGTGGCTGCCCCAGCTCTCGGCAGCTGCCTGCAGCTGTGTCGGCTGAGGGTGCCCAGTCTGGTACCCAGGAGCTGCAGTATTGGGGAAGCTTGGCTGAGTTCTTTATTGGAGACCTGGATGCAGAGACGAGGATGGGAGTGGGCTGGGGCGACCAGCAATGAGTGCAATAAAGGACACCACTCTCCTGGCCTCGTGACCTTGACTGTATCCAGCCAGCGACACCTGGAGCTACCTGTGGGCCAGTGCCATCCTGGGTTCCCCTGCAGATCCCGGCTCCAGTAAGCAGCCAATGCAATGTTGGGTTGTCCATTCCCAGCTTTATTCACAAATCTGGTGTCTGTAGAAAGCTGGGGGTCAGCAGGCTCCGGGCGGCTGTCCAGATTCCCCTGGCCCCATGCCCTCAGGGAGGGAGCGGCAGATCACAGAGATTCGCCGGCCCCGGGGAATCTGGCGCTCCCCAAAGAAGGATTCTTCATCCCGAAGGATCTCATGGGAGAAGTCATAACGGGCTGAACCCCTGCAGAAGAAAACAGGCTGTAACTGGGTGCTGGGAGGACAGGCCCCTATCCAGGCAGACCCAGGTTCCAGCCCCCCACTGCCTCTCACACAAGCCCTGGGGTAAAGGCTGCGTCTTTGGGGAGGGGTGGACTGAGGGAAGGTACCCAGGGCACTGGGTTGGTGTCCCACATTCCTGGATGGGTGGGGGCTGCCTGGCTGGAGGTACCTAAGGATGTAGAGGGAGCCTGGTTCCAGCAAGAGCTCCAGCCACTCCCCCGGTTCCTGGGTGTGCACCAGTCGCATAACGCTGGGAGACAGGAGAGACAGGCCAGCAATGGTGGCCCCGCAGAACTGCAAATGGGACAAAGGGATGGGTCAGGCTCTGACCTGGCCTGCCCAACCCCCGCTGGGAGCGCCAAGGCGCCAGCCTCTTCACACCTTGACACTGTCCACGTGGGGCTTGATGTAACCCCGAGCTTCCAGGTCCAGCACGTGCACGGAGGAGAGCAGGGTCTGTCCGGGGCCAAAGGCGACCGCCTGCACACGCTGCAGGATGGCCCGGCTAGCTTCTGACCAGCGCGACTTCTCTGTCTCTCGGAAGCCGTGGATAGCCTACACAAAGAGCCTGGTCAAGCCTGGGGGCTCCCAGAGGGAACAGGGACACTGAGGCATGGAGGGGCAGAAAACAGGGCAAGGGGCTGGTTTTCCTAGTGTGACTCTTGATCCTGCGATCAATTCAAACCCCGCTATCCCCCTAACCATGGCCCTACCTAGGTGTGACCTCAGTTCTTAGTACTCACCCTGAGGCTACAATTCCAAGTCCCCAGTGCTGGCCCGGCCCCAATATTCAATTGGCTGAGTCTCCCTACAACGTGAGGCCACCCAAGTGTCCTGTGTCCCTCAACGACGTCGGATTCCACACCCGTTTCTACCCCTAACCTTGGTCCCAAACACCCCTCAGTTCCAGATCCTGCCTCCAGTTATGGCCCTGGCCTCATCACAAAAGTGCGCTGACCAATGTCCTCGTCCCCCAACTCCCGCCCCTCCCACTATCGGAGTTTCAGCCCGCCCCCACTATAGCCCGGCTCCCAAATCCCTGCGGTAGGTACCGCCCCAGCAAGGCCCTGCCCCACTCAGCACGTCTCCCCTAGCCCCACCCACACGTGGCCCCGCCCCCGTCCATACACGCCCGACTCCTATGGCCCCGCCCCTAGAGTGGCCCCGTCCCACCCTGCACTGGTCTCCTTTGTGCCCGCCCCAGAGTGGCCCCGGCTCATCCTTACACTGGTCTTTCCCTGTTCCCGCCCCCGACATGGCCCCGCCCCGCCGCTCGTTTCTGTCCCCGCCCCAAATCCCCGCTCTAGGGACCGCCCCATCCGGTGCTTGGCGTCCCGAGGCCGCGCCCCCTACCCCCGCGCCGCTCGTCTCACCGCGTCCCAGTGATCGTATTCGTAGCGGCGGCGGCGCAGCTCGGGCTCCAGCTCTCGGCTCAGCGTCTCCTCCTCCGCCACACTCAGGAACCCAGGCCGCACCACGGCCGCGTCCCGCAGGCGGCTAAGCACCGAAGGGCTGGAGCCTCGTACCCAGCTGGGCCCGGGCAGCGTCCGCTGCGCCAGCAGCCCGGTCCCGGCCATAGCCCAGTAGCCGGGTCATGGAAGCGGCCAGGGTCGGGGAACGCCCCCGCCAAAAGCCATTGGCTGTAGGTGCGTCAGACCCCTCCAGCGATTGGCTTCCCTCAGAGTCCCGCCTTTACTCATGGCTATTGGTTGCTGCTAGACTCGCCTTCACAGAGTATTGGCTTTCTCCTAGAATCAGCCTCCTATCTTGAGAGCTTATTGGGCGCCACTCCAGAGTGGCTTAAACCATTGGCTGAGTCGCAAGTCCGTCTGCAGGTTAGCACCGCCTCTTTACTCATTAGAGGGGAAAGGTACAATGTAGGGGTTGCTTGGCTAAGACCTCACAAGGGAATATGGACAGTATCTGGTCTGAAGTCCGAGGTCAGGGGAATCGGGGCCAAGACCACGGTTCCGGAGTTGATTAGGGTTAGAGGTTAAGGGCAGAGTACAGTCAGGCTGAGATAAGGAGTCCGGGGTCAGGGGACTAACGTCAAGGCCACGATTATGTTTGTGGTGGGGCCAGATATCCAGAGTTAGGGCTTATGGCCAAAGGTCAAAGCAAGGCATCATTCATTTCCCTGTCTCCGTATTACTATTGCTTTAAAGATTCCTCAGCCGGCTACGGTGGCTCATGCCTTGTGTAACCCCTCATCTGCGCACCGAGGCAGTAGAGCTAAGCAGATCCCTGGCACCATTAGTGCCTGAAGAATATCTTAGTTTATAGTGTTACTACTCAATTATTTCCTTTATATATAATCATGTATTAGATCATAGTCAGAACAATTAGTGCCTGAAGAATATCTTATTACTCAGTTATTTCCATATATATATATAAAATTATATCTTAGTTCATAGAGGAATGTCTAGAGCAGACACGGTATAGAGCATGAATTAAGGAATAAGCAGCCAGATATATATATACATATATATATATATATATATATATGTAAATCATATCTTGCTTCTAGCCGGAGGAATGTCTAGAGCAGGCACGGTGCAGAGCATGGTTTCAGGGAAAAACAGTTATACCAGGACAGGAATCTATGGCTCAGGAGGTAGTGCTCCTGCCTGAAAGGGCATGGACTACATGGCAGGCTGGCCCAGGCGTCAGCTTTCAGTATCGTAAAGACACCTGCTGTATAGCAGGTTTGGAGCAAGAGTCACTTCTCCTGTGAGGGAGTTGCAGTACCTTGCATCCAGTTCTTGGGGAAAGCTGGCCTCAGGTTGGCAAGCCCGAGAGCGTCCTAGGGCTTAAAACCTCTCCGGTATAATCGTGCCTAGGTGGCTGTATACCCTGACAGCTCTGTTACTCCTGTACTGACTCAAAGCATCCTCCTATAGAAATCACTGGAAGCTGCCAGCAGGTGGCTGTATAACCTGTCAGCTCCGTTGCTACTGTGCGGACTCACAGCATTCTCCTATAGGTATCCTTAGAAGTAGCCTGCCCATAGATAAGCCATGTTGCACACTGCACCCTCCTTCCTGCACACCACCCACCTCCTGGGTGACCTAATGGGGGCGGACCCCTTGTTTATTGTTCATGTGATTGTCTTGACTCTATCACTATCCTTAAAATGACCTCACTCACTACCCTGCCCCTTAACCTATACCCAATAAATACAGACGTTCCTGGATGTTCAGGGCCTTGCCTGTCTCTGCTTGTAAGTGGCGTTGTGCTTTCTTTGTCCTTCTGTGTCCTGTCTCCTTATTTCTCAGATCCAGTGCCTCAGCACAGCAATAGGGACACCCCATGACCCTAGTAGGGCTGGACCCTACACACCTGTGATGCCAGCACTTTGGGAGGTTGAGGCAGGCAGATCACCTGAGGTCAGGAATTAGAGACCAGCCTAGCCTGGCCAACATGGTGAAATGCAATCTCTACTAAAAATACAAAAAATGAGCCGGGCATGGTGGTGTGCGCCTGTAATCCCAGCTACTAGGGGCAGGCTGAGACAGGAGAATTGCTTGAACCCAGGAGGTGGAGGTTGTTGTGAGCTGAGATGGAGCCACTGCACGCCGGCCTGGGCAACACAGCAAGACTCTGTCTCAAAAAAAAAAAGATCCCTCCTATTTTGCAAATGCAAACTGAAAAAAAAAAACCAACAAAACAAAACCAGATGAAAATACCTCTGGGATTTGCTTCTTCATAAATCCAGGCTGTGGGGACAGGGTCGGATAGGGAAGACTCACATTTGGCCATGAATTAATTGTTGAATTGGTGTGATAAGTAAGTGGGGTTTCATTACCCTGTTTTCTCTACTTTTGTATATATTTGATTACACTTATTTATTTATTCATTTTGAGACTGAGTGTCACCAACGGCACAGTGGCACTCTCGGGTCCTAGAGATTTGCAACCTCCGCTTCCCAGGTTTAAGCGATTCTTGTGCCTCAGCCTCCCGAATAGCTGGGATTACAAGCACCGAATCACCATGCCCAACTTTTTTGTTTGTTTTTGTGATTGAGACAGTTTCACTTTTGTCACCCAGGCTGGAGTGCAGCGGTGCAGTCCCGGCTTACTGCAACCTCCGCCTCCCGGGTTCAAGCGATTCTCTTGCCTCAGCCTCTCGAGTAGCTGGGATTATGGGTGGCCACTACCACGCCCAGCTAATTTTTGTATTTTTAGTAGAGACGGGGTTTCACCATGTTGGCCAGGATGGTCTCAAGCTCCTCCCCTCAGGTGATCCATCTGCCTCAGCCTCCCAAAGTGCTGAGATTACAGGTGTGAACCACCATGCCCAGTCTATGTTTTATTATTTTTTTACAGAATAAAAATAATAAAATGTGTAATTATTTTCTCCCTCTGCTGCCCAGGCTGGAGTACAAGGGCACGATCATAGATTGCTACCTGGAATTCTTGCGCTCAGGTGATCCTCTCCCCTCAGCCTTTCAGAGCTCTGGTAATTTTGTATGTATGTTAAATGTCCATAATGAGGCCGGGTGCAGTGGCTCACACCCGTGATCCCAGCACTTTGGGAGGCCGAGGCAGGCGGATCATGAGGTCAGGAGATTGAGACCAACATGATGAAATCCCGTCTTTGCTAAAAATACAAAAATTAGTTGGGCGTGGTGGCACCTGCCTGTAATCCCAGCTACTTGGGAGGCTGAGGCAGCATTGCTTGAACCAGTGAGTCAGAGGTTGCAGTGAGCCAAGATCGAGTCACTGCACTCCAGCCTGGCAATAGGGCGAGACTCCGTTTCCCACCAGAGGGAAAAATATTCTATAATAAAAAGTGCAAACACTGTAACTGCTGAGTATAAACGCCTGCCCCAATGCTTGAATTTTAAAAAATATTGACCCCATTTCTCCCTACAGCTACGTTCTGCCCCAACCCTGCCCTCCTTGCTAGGTAATTCCTCGAAAGACTTGTCTGTCTCTGATGTTTCTTCCCATTCCTTCTGGATCCACTCCAGCCTGGCTTTTGGCTCCCGCGACACCGGAAATGCCCTGATTTAAGGCGGCCAGTGACATCCACAGCGCCGAATCCAGTAGCCAGGGCTCAGTCTGACTGTTAATTCACCGACACGCTGATGCCACCTACATTTTTATTTCAGCCTCTTGACCCTGACGTCGAGGGACGTATCAAGCACCAGGTATGATTATAATATATCCAAAATCAACTTCCGATCCCCACCCCAAGTCTGTTCCTTTCTCTACCCTTCCCATCTCAGGTGATGGGTCTGTCTTCCTGACTGCTTTGGGCCGTCAGCTCGGAGTTTTTGGAAATTGCTCTCTCACCGCTCACCTAGCTAGACTCTTGACTTTTTATTGCCACTCGGCCAGAGCTGCCATGGGCTTTCACCTGGGTTACTCCAGCTCGGCTAACCGCCCTCGTTTCTGTTCATGGTGCGCGCCTCAGGAGTTGCAGTCATCCTTATTTTTTTTTCCGCTTCTCAAAACCCTATATGGTTCACCTCCCTCCTTTTAGATATCAGGCCTTTTATGGTCTATCCTCCTCACTCACCTCCACTTTTTTCTTTTTTTTTTTTTCCGAGACGGAGTTTCGCTCTTGTTACCCAGGCTGGAGTGCAATGGCCCGATCTCGGCTCACCGCAACCTCCGCCTCCTGGGTTCAGGCAATTCTCCTGCCTCAGCCTCCTGAGTAGCTGGGATTACAGGCACGCGCCACCTCGCCCAGCTAATTTTTTGTGTTTTTTTAGTAGAGACCGGGTTTCACCATGTTGACCAGGATGGTCTCGATCTCTTGACCTCATGATCCACCCGCCTAAGCCTCCCAAAGTGCTGGGATTACATGCTTGAGCTACCGTGCCCGGCCAACTTTTTTCTTTCTTGAGACAGAATCTCGCTCTGTCGCCCAGGGTGGAGTGCAGTGGCACAATCTTGGCTCACTGCAACCTTTCTCCCGGGTTCAAGCGTGCCACCACACCTGGCTAATTTTCTCCTCTGCTTTCTGATCTCATCTCTTCCACCCTCCCTCAGCCCTGGGCCTCCTTGTGGGTCCTCTCACATGCCAGGTACAATCCTTTGACAGGGCCTTTGCATTGGCTGTGCCCTCTGCCTGGACACAGGCTCCATCCCTCACCTCCTTTGAGACTGCTCAAACCCCGCCTTCTTAGTGAGGCCTCCCTGACTAACCCATGTAAAACTGTAACATGCTCACCCCACATCCGCATGCCCTTTCTTGTTTTTGAGATGGAGTCTTGCTCTGTTGCCCAGGCTGGGGTGCAGTGGCGTGATCCTGCTCACTGCAACCCCTGCCTCTTGGTTCAAGCAATTCTCCTGCCTCAGCCTCAGGAGTAGCTGGGATTACAGGCGCGCACCACCACGCCCAGCTAATGTTTGTATTTTTAGTAGAGTTGGGGTTTCACCTTGTTGGCCAGGCTAGCCTCGAACTCCTGACAAGTGATCTGCTCACTTAGGCCTCCCAAAGTGTTAGAATTACAGGCGTAAGCCACCGAGCCCGGTCCCTCTTTTTTGTTTGAGACGGAGTTTTTTTGCTCCTGTTGCCCAGGCTGGAGTGCAATGGCATGATCTTGTCTTACCACAGCCTGCAACTCCCGGGTTCAAGTGATTCTCCTGCCTCAGCCTGCTGAGTAGCTGGGATTACAGGCACCTGCCACCACACCCAGCTAATTTTTGTATTTTTAGTAGAGATGGGGTTTCACCATGTTGGTCAGGATGGTCGTAAACTCCTGACCTCAAGTGATCTGCCCACTTCGGCCTTCCAAAGTATTGGGATTATAGGCGTGAGCCACTGTGCCCGGCCTTTTGTTTTTTTTAAATGACTGCCTACCCCACAGGAATTGAGCTCTTTGAGGATGGTTGCTTGTGTTTTCTTCACAAAAGAACACTGCCTGGAATACAGGACATGATCAGGAGAATCTGCTGCAGGAAGGGATGGCTTGCTTGCCTCTTGGGGTCAGGACAGATGCAGAAGTGGCGTGTGGAACAC